ATAACCCGATGGTCACTCTGTCTGAGCTCCATCGTTCTTCTGTGGAGAGAGGAGAACCTTACAGAAGGACAACCATCTGTGCAGCAATCCACCAATCAGGCCTGTATTGTAGAGTGGCCAGACGGAAGACACTCCCCACCTGGAATTTGCCAAAAGGCATCTGAAGGACTCTCAGACCATAAGAAACAAACTTCTCTGGTCTGATGAGACGAAAATTGAACTCTTTGGAGTGAATGCTAGGCGTTACTTTTGGAGAAAAGCAGGCACCGCTCATCACCAGGCTAATACCATCCCTACAGTGAAGCATGGTGGTGGCAGCATCATGCTGTGGGGACGTTTTTCAGCAGCAGGAACTGGAAGACTAGTCAGGATAGAGACAAAGATGAATGCATCAATGTACAGAGACATCCTGAATGAAAACCAGCTTCAGAGTGCTCTTGACTTCAGACTGAGGCAACGGTTCATCTTCCAGCAGGACAATGACCCAAAGCACACCGCCAAAATATCAATGGAGCGGCTTATTGAACATCTTTGAAGAGATCTGAAAATGGCCGTACACCGTCGCTTCCCATCCAACCTGATAGAGCTTGAGAGGTACTGTAAAGAGGAACGGGCAAACATTCCCAGGTGGGCAGGTGTGCCAAGCTTGTGGCGTCATATTCAAAAAGACTTGAGGCTGTAATTGCTGCAAAAAGGTGCATCAACCAAGTGTTGAGCAAAGGCTGTGATACTTCTGTACATGTGATTTTTCAGGTTTTTTATTTTTAATAAATTTGCAACAATTTCAAAAACTCTTTTTTTCACATTGTCATTATAAGGAAATAAATGAATTTAATCCATTTTGGAATAAGGCTATAACATAAAAAAATGTGGAAAAAGTGACGTGCTATGAATATTTACCGGATGCACTGTAAATTGGCCGTAGTGTATAAGTGTGTGTGTGGATGTGTATGGGAAAGGCATAAAAACATATGCCAGAATAGTTGGTGGTTCATTCCGCTGTGGCGACCCCTGATAGATAAAGGATAAGCTGATGGAAAGTTAATGAATGAATGCTGCCTGATGTTTACTACATTCTTAAAAGAAATAGTTCCAAAATATGTTTTTTGCAGTGATGCCATACAAAAAACGTTTTTGTTTGGGTTTCACATAGGACCATTCAGTGATTATATAATTTATTTATTTTTGATAAGTGAGAATAACACTAAAAACAAACAACCTTATCCTACTTTTCAGAATCTTATCTGAAAAGGACAAGTTACAATTGAAATCAGAATTATTAGCCCCCTTTAAATTTCTTTTTAAAATATTTTCCAAATGATGTTTAACAGAGCAAGGGAATTTCCACAGTATGTCGGATAATATTTATTCTTCTGGAGAAAGTCTGATTTGTTTTATTTCAACTAAAATAAAAGCAGTTAAAATTTTTTTAAACACCATTTTAAGGTATTATTAGCTAGATTTTTTTGATCGTCTACAGAACAAACCATCGTTATACAATAACTTGCTTAATTACCCTAACATGCCTAGTTAACCTAATTAACCTAGTTAAGCCTTTAAATGTCACTTTAAGCTGTATAGAAGTGTCTTGAAAAACATCTGGTAAAATATTATTTTCCGTCATCATGGCAAAGAAAAAAGAAATTAGTTATTACAGATGAGTTATTAAAACTATTATGTTTAGAAATGTGTTGAACAAATCTTCGCTGCGTTAAACAGAATTTGGGGAATAAAATAAACAGGGGGGTTAATAATTCTGACTTCAATTGTGTGTGTGTGTGTGTATATATATATATATATATATATATATATATATATATATATATATATATATATATATATATATATATATATATAGTATACACTGCTCATCGGCTAAATACAGCATGCAGTAGACAGAAACACACATTATTTAATGTGCTAGAATAAAATAACCACAATTTGCAATGCTCTGTGATTACCTCATTAAACTCTAAACCATCAGCAGATGTTAGATTAAAAAGATAACTCACTCATACACACCTTTTATTCACAAGCCAGTTCTGAACAGGGGATTTGACCTGGATAGACTAGAGACACTCTTCAGCTCTTAAATTGACTTGACATTATTTAACCAACAGAGGGCAGTGCAGGTTTCATTCTCATTTAAAAAAATTTTTCTTAGACTAAAGTTCCAATCACCCCCCCCCCCCCCCACCCACCCCAACCGTACACAACTTTATCTTCCAATTAGACATCTTTAGTTCACATACTGTAGACACATTCTTAATGAAGTGCCGACAAATTAGCACTCACACCCGATCTCTTCTTTCACACAGACTGAGTCTGAGCGCATCCTCATATCCTCCTAATTACCTGTCCTCTTTCATGCACTTTTTCAGGTTACACACTCTTGAAAATAAAGGTACTAGAGCTTTCACTGGGGTGGTACCTTTTCAAAAGATACACATTTGCACTTAAAGAGTCCATAATGGTAGCTTATATTTGTACCTACACATTTTAAGAGGTAGATACTTTTTAGGTACTAATATGTACCCTTGAGGTATTAATATGGACCATTTATGTACAAATGTGTAGCTTTTAAAAAGGTACCACTCCAGTGACAGCTCGCGTACTGAGAGTGTACTGTGGGTCACTGATTTTGCACAAGCAACTTCCTTTCTGTGCTGGTATGTATATATTATATGTATATACATTTTTAGGAGCTAATATGTACTTTTTAACGCATTAATATTGACCATTTAGTTTTAAATAAGTAGCTTTTGTATTTTGGCTGCAGCCTTGTGTCAGCTGATAACTGGTTTTATTAAAATATTCAGTCATCAACCCCTAAACCCATTTACATCAAATTATTCTAGCAAAACTGATTTTTAATATGGGTTAAATAAGGTAGAACAGGATATTTAATGTAGCGATGGCAGGTTAAGTAGTTTATTTATTTTAATAAAATAAAAAAAATGCACATATTCAATGCACTACATTGCACTGATTCATTCATGTTGAATTGTTCAATATTTGCAATTATGTTAACATCTATCAGCACACTTCTGATTATTAACAGCAACCTGTACATATATTCATCTATTGTTAATCTCTGTTCATCACTAATACAACCTGTATATAAGGTTCATAGTACATCCATATGTAAATATCCCCATAGTTTTTCTATCTGTATCCTGCACTTGCTGCTATTGCACTCCTGGTTGTACCCAAACTGCATTTGTACATATGTAATGACAGTAAAGTTGAATCTAATCTAATCTAATATTTAAGCATTTATTAATAATGGATAAAAAACTTATTTTGATAAATTAAGTTTACAGACTATCTAAAATAGTGTCTCACATCTTGATAAAAGTTGTATTCTGTAATATGGAGTGCTACTAACTCTATAGTTATGATATTGTAATTATAGGGATGGAAAAATGTATCACATCAACCACAATTTTTATTAAGTCATTCAAGAAATACACCCCCCCCCCCCCCCCCCCCAGTAATTTATAATTTGGTACAAAATACAATCATCCCAGGCACTAGTTTCAGATTTTAAAAGAAATCCAGCATCATTTTTGTAAATGTTTAAATTATTTTACTATTATTAAGTGAAAACTGAAATAATAATAATAATAATAATAATAATAATAATAATAATAATAATAATAATAATAATAATAATAATAATAATGATAATGATAATAATAATATGAAATAACATATTTGGTTTTGGAGTTTGCATGGTTATTTTTCCTCCGGGTGCTCTGACTTCCCCCACAGTCCAAAGACATTCGCTATAGGCAAATTAAATAAACTAAATTGGCCATAGTGTATGAGTGTGTGTGAATGAGAGCATTTGGTTGCAGCTGGAAGGTCATCCGCTGTGTAAAACAGCTAGAATAGTTGGCGGTTCATTCCGCTTTGGCGATTCCTATAATAAATCAGAGACTATGCCGAAGGAAAATGAATTAAATAATGAATGAATGACATTTGGTTTCTTGTGCAAAAATATCTCACAATGAATGCAAGAAGAGCCTAAATGATTATACACTCTCGGAAATAAAGGTACAGGTGCTGTCACAGGGTCAGTACCTTTTTAAAAGATACATATTTGCACCCAAATAGTCCACAGTGGTACCTAAAAGGTGTATATTAGTACAAAAAAGTAGCCTACCTAAAAAGTACCTTTGTGGTACCATTATGGAACTTTCAGTTACAAATGTGTACCTTTTGCAAAGCAGTGACAACTCCTGTGTTTACTTTTGAGATAGGGATAAACAATCATTGCATTATATTATGATTTTCATCGATTTATAATTAGACACAAGGCACTTATAGTTTCAGAAATCTAACTCAGTTAAATATATCATCCGATAAATCACAGTTCTTGCAGGATTTAAAAGATGTTTAGCGCAAAACAGCTGGTGGAGGACCTAAAAAGGAGCCTGAATGAACGTGCTAATTCAATTTTCTGTAAGTCTAATCACCTCGCCCCTTTCAATAGTTATTACAATTTGATGGACTCACCAGCAGAGATTTCCCCACAATAATGTCAGGGGCTTAAGGGAAAAGTCATTTCTGAATAGAGAGAGCATCGTCGTGGAGTGTGGAGAAAGCAATTCACTTGCTATTCTCGTCTTCAAAGTGAGATTGTAGAGTGTTAGAGACAATCACAGCGTGTGGATAATGAGAATACACTGCACAAGCAAACCCCACAGTGCTTTATCGTCAAGAATAATATCACAGAAATGATAAAAACCCATCTCTCTCGCACTGCTAAAATGCATTTATCTTCAACCACCAATTCACAATAAAAGTTACTATAAAATACCCCTTCTAGCCATGTGCCATTATAAACCTCAAGCTAGAAGAATACCCCGTTGTGATAATTTTTTTCTCCTAAAATCATATTAGTTAATATCCCGACAGATTCATAATCACGAAATAAGCTTATTATGATCATATCTGCTTAATTATCCCGCTGAAAATGGCGTTTGAAAACCTACTTGGGTGAGTTCGGTACCCATCAGCACCAGGAGGGTGAGACTCAGGAGCTTGTTTGCAGGCTGCATCTTCCGCCGCCGATGCCACCTGATCCGGGAATACAAAAAATCACATGCAAGGCTGTTTCTCCCGTGCAGCTGTCCGGCTCGATGCTTCCTCTTGAACGGATCTTAACCCAACGCGTTTTAATTCAGCGGCAGAATGAGGTGAAGATGAGATTGGGATGGTTTTGGCTTTGCATTGTTTTTTCTTAGCTCATCTCAGCTTCCTCGCCTCCTCTCTGGACCCGATCGCGAATGAACAGGGATGAACGGGGAAAGCGCCGTAAATATTACTTCATCACTAGGACAAACTTGGCTGGTTAATACGAGAGGGAGTAGGTGTGGGCAGGAAATTTGACAAGCGGGGCCAAGCGGCGGTGCTGAACCGGATGTGACACGGGATGACGGGGGAAATTCGAAAGAAAAGCGCACCGAGGGAGCGGAGAAGCTGCGGGGGTCCGAGGAGGAGAGAAACCCGTGATCTGCTCTCGAAGACTTGAGCTCTCAGTGCATCATCGGGACAATGACGAGGATAATACAGCATACTCGAGGATAATATACAATATAGCCTACATATCATAAGCAGGGTATAAGGAGATGCGAAGGTGCCTTGCAGACTGTCCTCAATCGGGTATCATTGCAAATCAATCCAAACTCAAAGTTGAAACAAGATTAAAGGCAATTTATCGATGAGAATCATGATAATACAAATACTTATAGATATAAATGCAGATTACATATAATAATAATACTAATAACAACAACAATAATAATTATTATAATTAATATCTAAAAAAAACAATAATTAATTTTCTTTTCGGTTTAGTCCCTCCACCAATCTAGGGTCGCCACAGCGGAATGAACCGGCAACTTATACAGCATGTTTTACACAGCGGATGCCCTTCCAGCTGCAACCCATCACTGGGAAAAATCCATACACACTCTTTCACACACTACAGACAATTTAGCTTACCCAATTCACCTGTACCACGTTTTTGGATTTGTTGGGTGGAACCGGAGCACTGGGAGAAAACCCACGCGAACATAGGGAGAACATGCAAACTCCACACAAAAATGCCAACTGACCCAGCCTGGGCTCGAAGCAGCGACCTTCTTGCTGTGAGATGATTGTGCTACCCATTAAGCCACTGTGACATCTATTCTTACATATTAGTAATATTATTATTATAATTCAGTTGAATATAATATTTTTGACAATTCAATTCATACCTACCTTTAACCCAACAGTTGTGTTTGTCCATATTTTACCCAAATATGGCTTGAAATAACCCAGCATTTTTATTTTGAATGAATGTAATATTTATATTAATTATTTATTTTATATATTTATATAAGCGGAAGGTTTTAAAGTGTGTAAAATAAATGTTGCTGATACTTCTATTTCAGTATGTTGATGTACTTCCAACTGAATGAGAATATTGAGTGAGAGGCGGGGAATCATTCACTTTTGGCAAACTAACGGTAAGAGGAGTGTGGTTAACCATCCAACTGACATCAGAGAAAAACCACCACTCCACACTTTGATTAAAGATTACCAAACATTTTTCTTTCTTAACTTGCAACAATTAATTGATTATCAATGTGTATCAATTGATTATCAATTAATTAATTGATTATCAATGTGCGCAAGTGTAACCCCGGCGGTTCTACACCGCCCAACCCACTCCGAGCTGGGATCGAACCGGCGACCTTCCACATGGGAGTCGGTTGCTCTAACAAGGAGGCTTAAGACCATGGCCTCTAGCGTCTATCGCTAGAGCACCTTTAGAGGTCAGAGGAGTGAGGTTTACCTGCACAGCACTTCACTAGCTGGCCTCCGTTACACTCACCCCCTTAAACCTCACTCCCATCCAGGTCACGGCACCAATGTAGCCCTGCCGGTCCTAGACCGCCCAACCCGCTCCGAGCTGGGATCGAACCGGCGACCTTCCGCATGGGAGACGGTTGCTCTAACAAGGAGGTTAAAGATCATGGCCTCTAGTGTCTGTCGCTAGAGCACCTTTAGAGGTCAGAGGAGTGAGGTTTACCTGCACAGCACACACTAGCTGGCCTCCGTTACACAAGCAAAATAAACATTGTAAATATTGAGTTTGCACAGACTTTAAAGTCTTCACCAAACCAGCCAATACCAAAAAAAATGCAGGATATTAAAGTTTCAACATCTCCTTTAATCAATGGAAATGGCCTTAAATGCCATGGTTAAGGTTTCTTCATTTACTGACAGTAATTGACTGAGCCAAAAGAGCGTTGGGCTAAATGTCATCACCACAGTGGCCTCAAGGAGCACAACAGTCAAGAGCAAACTCCTTGTATTAAAGGTCGAATTAACACCTGCTGGTGCACGACTACAACAAACAGAATCAGCAAACAGTCTTTGTTTGAAGACCACTTTATACATTTACATATGTAAACACTAGATAAATAATTTAACAGGATAGTCGCTTATCATCACACAGGGCTCCATGAAGGATACAGAGAGATCAGGGAGCTTCACTTAAATACTGTAGAAAATTGAGTTGGATAATGGTGTATAATCCACATGCATATATAATAACACATTAATTGCAACTGCGTTAAATATATAATGCTACACTAACTATCACTAGGCAGTGATTCTCAGCCAGGGGGAACTTATAAATGTGCTTATAGACTTAAAAAAATTTGTTTTTGTACAAATTTTCGCAAATAAGACCAAAAATGTTTTAATAATTATTCAAAACAATACATGCATTCATACATAGTACTTATGAATGTATATAGTTTTTAATATCAATTAAGGACAGTGTAAAAAATAAATAAATAAATATATATACATATATATATATATATTCACATACACACACTGTAAAAGTATTACTGGCAATTTTGGTTACAAGTAATAGTATACAATTTACAAGTGTACTTTAAAATTAACAATTACAGTATATACTCTAACAATTATTAATTTACTGTAAATTGTAAAGTATTACTGGCCATTTTTTTGCAGTATTAGTGGTAAAAATGTACAAGCGTGAAACCAAAATTGCAAGTAATACTGTACATTTTATAGGATTTTTTTCAACACAGGCTCATTGTGAAAACGTATTTCTGAAGAGCACAGATTATGTACACGCATATAATAACACATTAACTGCAACTGCTTTAAATATATAATGCTACACTAACTCTCACTAGGCAGTGATTCTCAGCCAGGGGGAATTTATAAATGTGTTTATAGACTTATAGACTTAAAAAAAATGTGTTTTTGAACTAATTTTCTCAAATAAGACAAAAAATGTTATAATAATTATTCAAAACAATACATGCAATGATACATAGTACATATGAATGTATATAGTTTTTAATATCAATAAAGGACAGCGTGAAAAAATAATTTTATATATATATATGTCCATATATACATACACACACACACTGTAAAAGTATTACTGGTAATTTTGGTTGCCAGAGATACTGTGAAATTTACAAGTGTACTGTAAATTAACAATTACAGTATATACTCTAACAATTATTAATTTACAGTAAATTGTAAAGTATTACTGGCATTTTTGCAGTATTACTGGTAAAAATGTACAAGCAAGAGGAACCAAAATTGCAAGTAATACTGTACATTTTATGGCATTTTTTCAACACAGGCTCATTGTGAAAACGTATTTCTGAAGAGCACAGATTATGTAGCCAGATCTACGTGTGGCCGCATTTCATCTTTTAAGTAAATGCTACAAGGTGGTATGATGCCGCCAACGGCTTCTGTTTTATTTCGCGCTACCAGCTGGCCGCTGACATCCGTGTGGATGGATTCTCTCCTGTTATCTGGGGGGGGGGGGGGGGGGACTTTTTATTCATATGAATATGCCTTCTAATTATACCAAGCTAAAATGTATTTTATCAAGCAGAAAAACCCTTACTGTTAATCATTAAATCAAAACAGGAACAATCAATGAAGTGTATTGTTAATTTAGACAATAGATAGATAGTCAGAATTATTAGCCCTCCCAAAATATTAGCCCCATGTCTATTTTTCCCCAATTACTGTTTAAAGGAAGCAAGATTTGTTTCAACACATTTGTATATATAACTGTTTTAATAACTGATTTATTTTATCTTTGCCATGATGACAGTACATTATATTTAACTTGATATTTTTCAAGATACTATTATTCAGCTTAAAATGACGATTAAAGACTTAATTTGGTTAACTAGACAGGTTAGGGTAATTAGGCAAATCATTGTATTACAGGTTTGTTCTGTAGACCAGTGGTTCTCAAACTGTGGTACTTGTACCACTAATGGTACGCAGACTCACTTCTAGTGGTACGTGGGGGAATCACTGAGTAATGAAAGAATAAATGAATACAATTTTAATCATTTGATGCGTACGATTACACCAATGTGATCAGCATTGGGTGTTCTCTAAAGCCTACGATCAAAGCGATGTGTTTAAAATGTTTACTTTAGTGCATCACGTTATCAGCTGCTAAAAATCAATTCAATTGGAACTAGAGAAAGAGGTGTGTGTTGCTTGCAGAGCAGATACATGCTAGAGCAGTGGTCCCCAACCCACGGGCCACAGACCGGCACTGGTCTATAGATCAATTGGTAGCCGGCCACACAAAAAATCGTGAATTTCCGTTTTATTTACAATCTGAGTCTGAGCAATCATTTATTTTGAAAAATCTTTTATTTTGAAAAATTAGCGTATTCTCTTGTTACATCTCGGTCACTTGAGTGCCAAAATTTAACCCACAGGCTAGCAAAATGAGTAAGAACTGCAGCGCGACACGCTTGCGTATTCCAGGCGCCCCAGTTGAAAACATCTTAACTTTTTATATTTAATAATATTCAATAATGTCATAACCTTAAAATGTTTTAAAAAAAATTATACTTGCTAAAAAAAAGAAATAACAATTTTTCTACAAGACAAAATATTATGGGAAATACAGTGAAAAATTCCTTGCTCTGTTAAACCAAATTTGGGAAATATTTGAAAAAGAAAAAGAAAAAAAAAATCACAGGAGGACGAATAATTTTGACATCAGCTATGTGAATTTAGGATTACACAGTACTCAACGTCTAGTTTCCCACAAGACAAAACTAAACACATCAGCCTGGCTCTTTTAGTCAGGTTGCCACACACTGCAACATTCTTAAAGGGGAAATGAAGCACTCAGTCAAGTTTACCCTATTTTGTACATTGGATTCCACTTTAATGAAAATATATTAAACACACTCGATTAATGTTACCATTTAGCAGAAAACGGCATATTTTACTATAGATTTTAGACCTATGGCGCAGCCATCTTAGAATGTCGCTGTTTCTGACATCACGGGGTTGGTTCCGTTCCCTCCGCTGAACAAATACAATGGAGGTAAAGTAGCCTAATTTAACCCAATGCATGAATTTGTGGACGTATAGCTGCTGCAAATACAAGCATCAGATGTGTGTCTAATATAAACGTATATATATA